AGGTAGGGTTTTCATGTACAACAGTCCTCACATGGGTAAGCTACTGACATCACACCTTGACACTTTATAATACACCTAAGACTCACCCTGGAAGTACTCCTTACGAGGTAGGGTTTTCCTGGATGGTTGTACAACTGTCCTCACATTGGTCGTCTCTTCTAGTTTCCTGAATAGTGCCAGCCTCTGTTTAGGATCTGTAGCGGAACATTGAATAAGAAATTTCTATCAACTAATCTACCATGTCAATGCTGTAACGACACATTTCATTGGTAAACAAGAGATCCTAGAGGGATTTCGGCACCCACCATTGTAAGACTTTTATTAGTTCTATGTAAGACTGATCTTTTCCTTTCTTTTCTCTCATCTGTTGGATTGATAATCTTTTCAACAGTAAAGGCATGTTGTGGTAGCTTTTGATTAAAATGTCATACTTCTGAGTTTGAGAGATTCCTTCAAAATGAAGGCATCGTTTATTTCTTGAGAACAAGTACTCTGACANTGCACATCTACATGTCAATGTATAACCATGTCAAATTTGAAGAAGATAAGACTTTTGGATTCTAAGATTAGGACCATACCCTCCATTGTTTATAATTGACTATTGTAAGTAACAGTGACCTTGACCTTGGAAAATATTAAAATCCCTTTTGCACATCTACATTTTAGTCTCAAAATGAAACATGCAAAAATATGGACTTTGGGGAACCTACATATGTAATATGGACTTTGGGGAACCTACATATGTAATACAACAAGGTTCTGACAAGTGCTGATTATTTTTTATTGAAGAAGGACATTTGTGGTTGGGGCGCTAGGAGGAAGGGTCCCTTGGAGAAAGGGTTAATGAGAAAGAAGGGGTGATAGGGAAACAGGGATAGGAAGGGTGCCACTAGGAAAAGGGATTAGGATGATGTGCGGATCATTGTATAAGAGAGAATTCATTGGGAGGTTGGAAATAGGGAGAGAGAATATATTGTGAGATTTTTTTTTATTAGGAGTGGTTGAATAAGATAAAGAATTCATTGGGAAACATGTGATTGGGAGGGAGAATTAATGGGGAGGGGGTCACTGAGGAAGAAAATTCATTAAAAGGGGCACTTAAAGAGATAATTCATTGGGAGAGGGGTATTTGGGAGAGAGAATTAATTGGTAGGGAGTCACTGAGTGAGAAAATTCATTGGGAGAGAGGTAATTGAGAGAGATAATTAAATGGGAGGAGGTCATTAGGAGAGAGAATTCATTGGGAGAGAGGTAACTGGGAGAGAGAATTCATTGGGAGAGAGGTAACTGGGAGAGAGAAGTCATTGGGAGAAAGAATTCATTGGGAGAGAGAATTCATTGGGAGAAAGAATTCATTGGGAGAGAGAATTCATTGGGAGAGAGGGAACTGGGAGAGAGAATTCATCGGGAGAGAGGTAACTGGGAGAGCGAATTCATTGGGAGAGAGGAAACTGGGAGAGAGAAGTCATTGGGCGAAAGAATTCATTGGGAGAAAGAATTTATTGGGAGAGAGAATTCATTGCGAGAGAGGTAACTGGGAGTGAGAATTCATTGGGAGAAAGACTTCATTGGGAGAGAGGTCATTGAGAGAGATAATTAAATGGGAGGCGGTCATTAGGAGAGAGACTTCATTGGGAGAGAGGTCACTGGGAGAGAGAATTCATTGGGAGAGAGGTAACTGGGAGAGAGAATTAAATGAGAGGAGGTCATTAGGAGAGACCATTCATTGGGAGGGGGCCACTGAAAGATAATTCAGTGGGAGAGAAAATTCATTAGGAGGGTGTCACTGAGAGAGAGAGTTCATTGGGAGATAGAATTTATTTGGAGGAGGTCTTTTAGAGGGAGAACTCATTGGAAGAGAGGGACATTGAGACAGAGAGGGGAAATGTCTTAATTAAGATGTTGAATTGAGGAACACAATTATACGCACATGTCAAGTGCAAACGTGAAAATCTTTTAAACTGTCTTACCTAATTTGCCGAGCTTCTTTCTCCGCTCAGCATTATACTTCATTTTCTTTGCTCTTTGCATCATCAAAATGGCTGTTTGGTTGTCCTTGAATCCCCTGTAAAATGATTGTGCAAGAAATAACCTTTATGACATCTACATGTACATGGTAACNCAAGTTATAACCTTTATGACATCTACATGTACAAGTTATAACCTTTATGACATCTACATGTACAAGTTATAACCTTTATGACATCTACATGTACAAGTTATAACCTTTATGACATCTACATGTACAAGTTATAACCTTTATGACATCTACATGTACAAGTTATAACCTTTATGACATCTACATGTACAAGTTATAACCTTTATGACATCTACATGTACAAGTTATAACCTTTATGACATCTACATGTACAAGTTATAACCTTTATGACATCTACATGTACAAGTTATAACCTTTATGACATCTACATGTACAAGTTATAACCTTTATGACATCTACATGTACAAGTTATAACCTTTATGACATCTACATGTACAAGTTATAACCTTTATGACATCTACATGTACAAGTTATAACCTTTATGACATCTACATGTACAAGTTATAACCTTTATGACATCTACATGTACAAGTTATAACCTTTATGACATCTACATGTACAAGTTATAACCTTTATGACATCTACATGTACAAGTTATAACCTTTATGACATCTACATGTACAAGTTATAACCTTTATGACATCTACATGTACAAGTTATAACCTTTATGACATCTACATGTACAAGTTATAACCTTTATGACATCTACATGTACAAGTTATAACCTTTATGACATCTACATGTACAAGTTATAACCTTTATGACATCTACATGTACAAGTTATAACCTTTATGACATCTACATGTACAAGTTATAACCTTTATGACATCTACATGTACAAGTTATAACCTTTATGACATCTACATGTACAAGTTATAACCTTTATGACATCTACATGTACAAGTTATAACCTTTATGACATCTACATGTACAAGTTATAACCTTTATGACATCTACATGTACAAGTTATAACCTTTATGACATCTACATGTACAAGTTATAACCTTTATGACATCTACATGTACAAGTTATAACCTTTATGACATCTACATGTACAAGTTATAACCTTTATGACATCTACATGTACAAGTTATAACCTTTATGACATCTACATGTACAAGTTATAACCTTTATGACATCTACATGTACAAGTTATAACCTTTGTGACATCTACATGTACAAGTTATAACCTTTGTGACATCTACATGTACAAGTTATAACCTTTATGACATCTACATGTACAAGTTATAACCTTTATGACATCTACATGTACAAGTTATAACCTTTATGACATCTACATGTACAAGTTATAACCTTTGTGACATCTACATGTACAAGTTATAACCTTTGTGACATCTACATGTACAAGTTATAACCTTTGTGACATCTACATGTACAAGTTATAACCTTTGTGACATCTACATGTACAAGTTATAACCTTTGTGACATCTACATGTACAAGTTATAACCTTTGTGACATCTACATGTACAAGTTATAACCTTTATGACATCTACATGTACAAGTTATAACTTTTATGATAAAAGGTTTAAACCTCTTTGAAAACTCTGAATACCCGAAGGTTACTTAAACAGTGTTAGAATTCCTAACAAAATCAATTAGAAAATTAAAAAAGACAGAGACAAGACCAACTATTTCATATCACAGCCATAAATATTACCATTCTTGTGTGATTTTTTCCTCCTTCTTGGACAACACTGAACGGTGACTGTCCATAGCACTAATCGTACCACTGGCTAGGGAGGAGGGTGGTCTGGGGTGATGTGGAGCATTCTGTATATCAGAAAGGGGTGAATCCATTCCTCGCCACGCCTTCCGAGGAAGGCCAGGTGGGTGGAGTTTGTCTCCAAGCTCCAAAAAAGGGATGTGGTCTGCAGAAGGTAATTTCCCTGATGGTGGCTTTCCCAGGACAGCATTGCTGAAGGTAACAGAAATAAAAACAATTTTAAACTTTGAAAAATTGTATTGAATCACAGGTTTTTTCTGTTTTTCTTTTTTAACTTGACACTAACATCCATGATTAATTAACTACCTTTTTAATGGTTGAGATAACACTTACTATCATCATGAAGGTTAAGATTACACTTACTTATATCAAGAACCTTAAGATTATCATTGAACATGATTAGACCTACATGTATACAGGAAAAATCGTACCTTGCAGGGATCTGGGGTGTCTCTGGAGGCTTCCAGTCATCCAGCATGTTCTAATGATATCAATGTAGGTATATTACCATATTAATCAGATTAATGTTTGTACATTATTGTAATAAATAAATAACATTGATGTACTAATGATATCAATGTAGATAAATTACCATTATAAATTATGAAATACAGAATGTATAATGGTAGCTGAGTAGGGGTTTCATCTATTTATAAAATTAAACATAGGCTAACGGGCAAATTCCCTCTTCAAGAATAATGGTATTGATTATTTTATAAAACAATATGTTATTCAGATGTTGGATTCACAAAATTCAACCCTTAGGTTATTTTTATTAACTCACCTCATCAAAATTAAATTGTCCTAAATCCACCTCATCAAAATCCTCATCTTCATCATCATCAAGGCGAGCGAACTCTATTGCCTTCTCCAGTTTGTTTCTGAGGTTATAGCCTCTGAATACAGCCTGTAAAATAACCAAAGTAAATAGCTAAATACAGCCTGTAAAATAATCATAGTAAATAGCTAAATACAGCCTGTAAAATAACCATATTGATAGCTAAATACAGCCTGTAAAATAACCATAGTAAATAGCTAAATACAGCCTGTAAAATAATCATAGCAAATAGCTGTGGAAATGAAACTTTTTGACTAATTGAAGATGGTATCAGTTGCAATAAACCTCCCACTAACTACAAACATCTTTAATAAAATCTATTACCTGTAATTAAGTGAGATCTGGTTCTCTCAGTTGAGGGCTAAGATTCTGTAACATAACCCAAACCGAGGTTTGGATTTTACAGAATCTTAGCCTGAGATTGTATTTTAATCACTGACAGGTGTTGTGAACATTTACCTATATTTTTATCACTGTCAGGTGTTGTGAACATTTACCTGTATTTCAATCACTGTCAGGTGTTTTGATCACCTACCTGTATTATAATCACTGTCAGGTGTTTTGATCACCTACCTGTATTATAATCACTGTCAGGTGTTGTGAACATTTACCTGTATTTTAATCACTGTCAGGTGTTGTGAACATTTACCTGTATTTTAATCACTGTCAGGTGTTGTGAACATTTACCTGTATTTTAATCACTGACAGGTGTTGTGATCATTTACCTATATTTTAATCACTGTCAGGTGTTGTGAACATTTACCTGTATTTAAATCACTGTCAGGTGTTGTGATCATTTACCTGTATTTTAATCACTGACAGGTGTTGTGATCATTTACCTGTATTTAAATCACTGTCAGGTGTGGTGAACATTTACCTGAATTTAAATCACTGTCAGGAGTTGTGATCATTTACCTGTATTTCAATCACTGTCAGGTGTTTTGATCACCTACCTGTATTATAATCACTGTCAGGTGTTGTGATCACCTACCTGTATTATAATCACTTCCAGGTGTTGTGGTCACTTACCTATATTTTAATCACTTTCAGGTATCGTGATCACTTACCAGTATTTTAATCACTGACAGGTGTTATAGTCACTTACCTGTATTTTAGTAGCTGCTTGGTGTAACTCCTGTAACACCTCGTAATCTAGGTCAGACATGTCCTGTTCGACTACCAAGCCATTAGCCAACAACTGTTTCCTCACACAGTACCCTCGCCAGGCAGCCTGGATCAGAATGGCTGACTTCTCCTTTTGCAGCCTAATGAAGAATAATAGACTTCTATCGTAGGTTGGTAGTGGGGATATGAAGATTCTATCTTCCTTATTTGCCTTTCTCATTATGACTTTTTCCTACCCTTTAGAAGGTTTTGGTAGAAAATAGCACTGACAAGGTGAACACATTGAATAAGATAGTAGAATTTCAAGTAATGTACAAATTATCCAAGAATTTATATATTATCATGAATTTCTAGTGTGAACTTACAAACCTACAGTTAATATTGGTCACATATTATAGTAGGCTGATGTACAGAGGCACTACCTCACACATCACCTAGTAGGCTGATGTACAGAGGCACTACCTCACACATCACATAGTAGGCTAATGTACAGAGGCACTACCTCACACATCACCTAGTAGGCCGATGTACAGAAGCACTAACTCACACATCACATAGTAGGCTGATGTACAGAGGCACTACCTCACACATCACCTAGTAGGCTGATGTACAGAAGCACCACCTCACACATCACCTAGTAGGCTGATGTACAGAGGCAC